GTCCTTGGCCATCCCGGTTCAGCGAACCCAATTGGGGGCTCTGGGGTTCTGTTGCATCAAAGAGCACAGATGGACATGACCGACGAAACGTCTGGGGTTGCTCATCAAAGAAACCGACCCCCAAAGAACGGACCCCGGTAAGCCCGCGTCCTCGCATAAACTACTGAAAGCACTGCCTTTGCCGTGGGCCTCGTATTCCGATCCAGGCTTGCCCAGGCTCCGAGGAACGGCCCAGGCTCGAGGGTGCCCCAGTGAGCAGTGACGCCAGCGGCCGTCCCGGGACGCCCGACCCCACCCCGACGGGCAAAAAATAGCACAGCGCATGCCAGGGACCTAGTACTGTCGATGGTGTCCACTCGACAGCACAGTGTCCACCCGACAGCACAGAAGAGGGCCTGTGGATTGGGTGCGCGGCGCTCGCTCAGGAGGTCGGCCAATGGCTGGCATGGAGTGACGCCAGACGCGGCTCCACCTCTGCCTCTCTCCTCTGCCTCTCTGCCTCAGTACGGTACCAACAGTACCAGCGGTACCTAGGTCTGTCTGCCTGTAGTGCCTGCGTCCCTGCGTGCCGGCGGGAAGAATTTTCGGCGGTTGTCGACGGTTGTTTCGTGTCGAGGGCGCTGACGACGCTGCTGAGGTACCTCGACGTGGGTGCAGGCCGTGCGGCGAGACAAGTCACTCTCGGGAAACGCCAGCCCACCGTCTCGGCCTACCGGTACAGTTTTGCTTGAGTGCTTGGTAGGTGGCAGCCGGCCGGGCAGGCCTGCACCCACACCCACTGACTTCATCACCAGATCCAGAATGCATGCCGTAGCGGCATGCTCGACACACCCTCAACGTCCTACGTCCTGGTCCTTGTTCCTGTGCCTGTTTCCTGGGGCATCCCCTCCATCGACCCCCATCCCCCCTCCTTTCACCCTACGTACAGTCCTGACTTTTCTCTCGCCCTCTTCCGTCTCCATGCTCGGCCCCAGGAACATCGGCCATCTCTTCCTAACAACACGACCGTCCCAGATCTCCCACTCGCTAGAGATCGGACCGTCGTCACGACACACGAGAACACGGACGCACAACGCAAGAAACACCAGCACTGCACAGCATTTTTATTTTTTTTCCTCTTTCGTCCCTCGTTGAGCCGTGCTATCTGGGACCCGTTTCAGTAGTCGATCAACGACCACACCCCCCGGACAGTCCACCAACGTCATTTCCCGAGGGTCAATTCGTCGTGGCCACTGAGTGCAAACCATCCTTTTGCACCTTTCAGTCTCTCTCTCTCTCTCTCTCTCTCTCTCTCTCTCTCTCTCGTCCCCCGCGGCGACAAGCATCGATAGCCAAACGACGAAGACGACCCGTCGTTCGTAACACACCTACCATCGCGGCTGTTTGGTAGACCCTTTTCCTTCGGGATACGAACGTCACCTGCCGACCTGCCCTCCTTTGGGCCCCCGACATCACCTCTACACAGACACATACAG